ATAAGAAAGTGCACAAAGAATGGCTATGTTTACAGACCACCAAAGAAGACAAATCAATCTGATTTTGGAGAAGGATCAAGTCAACAAATGCAAAGCCAAGTCATTGATGAAAGTTAAAGTAAGCGTCTATTTTTAAAATTTCAGTTTGATATGGTTTCACTTTCTGATGTGGTTTAAGTTTCTGATGTGGTTTCAGTTTAAATTTTCAGTTTGATGTGGTTTCAGTTTCTGATGTCATTGATGTGGTTTCAGTTTCTGTTTTGTAGGAGCTAGGACAGGATCTAAGAGAGGCAAATGGATAAAGTGGTTTCAGCTTTTTATATTATGTATTCTCTTATCATGTAGTCTCGTTTGAAGTACCTTTGGTTTGAAGTAACTCTTAGGAGATGATGTACTTTTCGTTTCCAGTACTTTTGGTTTGAAGTAACTCTTAGGAGAGGATGTACTTTTCGTTTCCAGTACTAACTCTAGTGTACTTTTGAAAACAAAAACTTGCATTGTTTTTAAAAGACCCTGCATTTTTCAGAGCCTGCATTTTTAAACAAAAACCTGCATTTTCAAAACATAAAGAAGAGTCTAATCTAGAATCTAAAATCAAAAACAGATTTTTCGAGATCCACAAAGAAGCATGAACCCTTTGCTTCTTCAATCTATAATCCTTCTTCATCATCTCCAAACTATAAGGTGACGATTCATCTTCTTTAATCTGATCTTCTTTCTTCTCTTTCTTCTCCTCTTTCCCACTCTTCCCTCTCCTCTCGTTCCGATGCTCGTTCATATCCTCAACGAACGCCTTTACCTCCACATCGATTTCTTCGATCGCCACCGTTGATTCAACCGTCGATTCCCAAGCGTCGTTCCAATTATCGTCACCATTTCGAGATTTTGTCGACATGTAATCGAAAAATTGGATAACGGATCTTTGTTCTAGTGATCAATCAGGCTACATGATGAAGAGAATACATCTTCTTAGTACGAAAAATGGAAGCTTTTTCTACAGCGCGATAATGGTGTTTTGATATGATAATAACTCCCTTTCTTTTTTTTTCTTTTTTTCAGATGCAAAAACGACGCTGTTTTTGTGTTAAACCAGTCAACAAACCAATTGATTTAGGTCAACGTCACCATCTGTTAACGGATAACAGATTCCGTCTGCAGTTTGTGTAAATTGACCAAATTCTAATAGGTTATGGGGGAAATTTAAAATTATATAAAGTTCATGGGAGTTTTGGCCTATCTTAATAGATCACGTATGAATAAACGGGAGCTCAGAAGTTCACGGGATAATTGGGCTTTTTCCCACTTTTGATATATGAACAAGATCTTTATAAGTCAGCCGCTCTCTCTCGGGTACAGTAATCGAGACAGCCAAAGCCTTCTCCGATTCCGACGCCGGTGGAGCCTTTGCTCGCCGGCGTTGGACGATGGTTGCTCCGTTACTCTCACATGTCACTCTATCGACTCTATTGCCTTAGTCGCCTTGTTTTCTCCGGTTGAGCTGCTATTCCGACTCAGCACCCATCAGCGGTGAATGTTCTCAGATTTGGATCTGTTTTGTTCTCTCTAAGAACAAGATTTCTGTGTCAAGTACGGGCCCTTGTGGTTCAGATCTATTATCGGCTAGAAACCGAAGAATTTCAATTCTCTTCTTCACAATCCAAGCCACCTCCTTGGACTCCTCCGTCTCCTCCACCGTCCACCACCGTTGCACAATTTCAGGCTTCCACCACACTTCACTGACGAATCCATCGGAAGTCCGACATCAACTAACTTACTCGGGTGTTGGTTATAAACATCGGAGTATGACTCCGGATCTGCCCGCCGCACCTTTGCCTTCCCTCTCCGCTCTTAAGAACCACCACCGAAAGCTCAATCCGGCCATTTCTCTCCATCTGAACAGCACCAGATCGGAAAGGGACCCGAAGAGTTCTCGAAGACTTTTGCTGCCATCTTCAGGTTGCTTCTCCATGAGTCTTCGATCTGGTTATCATCTCCACCATCCACCACGGAGGACTTTCTCTGCTCCACCGTCACTTCTGCTTCCCCTGTGTCACGAGCCTCCTTCTCAGCCGCCGTTTTCAGGCCACGCGCCATCGCCGGAGAATCCATCTCCAGTGCCGATCCTCCCCCCTCCCTCTCCGGCTGAGACAACACTGCATAACCTAGAGGGCCTCAAAAGGTATTGTTGGATGGGCCTCAAAAGTTGTTGTTGGGCTTGGCCCATTTTATTTGTTATAGCCCGATACAGCAAAATTCAAGCCCAAATCTAATGGTATCAATATCAATAGGGGACGCTTATTTTTGTCTTGTAAAAAACGAGAATAAGTCTGATCCTACTGATTTGAAACTCGATAACCATATGAGCTTCTCATCGCTGCATATGGTGAGATCAAAGTTTTCCAAGATTCTCAAATCTTGTAACTGATGAGTCTGATATCTCCTCGACAAAGAGAAGATCAAAATTTTCTTGATTCTCAAATCCTGCACCTTCCTCCTTTTTGGAAAGAACTCGATCACCTTTCCTTCTCCTAGTGAGAGTAAGGTTCTTCTCGAATTCAAATCCGATCAATCCCCTAACTGTCATGAGGAAACTCTGAGGTATAAGTAGTCTTCCAAAGTCACAATGCAAAGTGATTAAACCAATAGTCTCCGGCTTAGCCGTAAAGACGATCTTGACGCATTTGAGGTCTTCCTCGGATCCGCTGTCCATCTTTTGCGATGATTTATCTGTTCTAAGTTTTATTGCATTTAATTTATGTAGTGGAAAATTAAGAGGATGCTTAATTCTCTTTTCTTGTATGATTCAAGATTAAGTTAATGAATAATGTGTTGG